ACAGCGCGGCTGAGTGCCAGCGGCCCCTGCACAGGCACCGTGTCCCCTCGCTGCCGGCGACGCGCCACAGGCAGTGCGGGGAGGGGCCGAGACGTGCCCTCGCGGGGCTACTCCCGTCGTCGCCCCTAAAAATAGCGCCTTGCAGAGGACGCACTGAGACGGGGTGCTTCTCAGAGCCCCACGGGACGCCGCCACCCACCGGGGACGCGCTTCTGTGTTCCTGCCACGGGTCACTTCATGAACAAGGTGCCCACGCGTGTGCGCGCTCCACGTGGCTCCTGAAACGGGTTTGGACGGGCCGCTGCTGTCCCTGAAAACCGAAGGTATCCACGTGGAGCGCAGTGAAAAAGGGGACCCCCGCCCCGGCACCCTCCTCTGCAGCAGGTGGGGCAGAGCGTCCTCGGCCAAGGGACGCCCCGCCCGAGCGCCAGTTCCTGGAGCCGCCCGGGGCCCCAGGCCCCCCCAGGTCTGCCTCTGGTCCCGGGGGGGCCAGGGGGGCAGGCTCCGTGCAGTAGGGTGCGGCACCCCACGAGCCCCCGCCCCAGCCAGAGGGAACAAGGGGCCACCGGCACTCCCCCGCGGCCGCGCTGAGGGCAGCTGCCCTGGGTGACCACCTGCCGCGGCATGCACGGGGGGCCCCACACCTGATCCGACAGGCCAACCCCGACACGCGCCCCGCACAGGCAGGTCCCCCCAAGCCGGCAGGGGGCCAAGCGCTGGACTGGACACAGCGGGGCGTTCCCGCTCCGGCTCCAAGGCCCGGGCCGCACGGCCAGAGGTGGCGAGGGGGCCCGCCGAGGGGCGGCCACGCTGGCCAGGCCCAGCCCCACGCGGAGGTCGGCGACGCCCAGAGTCCACACTGCCGGGGGAGGGGGGCGCAGAAAGGCGCCTCCGGGACCACCGGGAGCGGCTGCCCGTGTCCCCCACTGCGCGGTCTCTGCCGGGGGAGGCAGCCCCACCGCGGGTCCCGCCAGGCCAGGACTGTGCCCGGCCCCCCTGGGCACGGGCCTTCCCCTAGGCGGCCGAGGGGCGGGCCGCGACGGGACAAGAGACGTCTGACGCGCGGCGCGCTCCGGAGCGGACGCCAGGGCCGCGGCCTCCCTGCCGGTGCGGCCTCCGCCGTGGCCAGAGGTGCACGCGGCCGACAGGGCCCGCACAACCTCCAGCGCCACTCGCGCCACTCCCACGGAACTCTCTAGAAGTTCCGCTGCCGCACACGGGAGGGGCCCACGCGTGCTCTGGAAAATGAGCCAGTAAGAAGCCGCAGCGCCCCGCCAGCAGAGGTGGCTATTCGGGGACAATCCGTGACCGAGCCCCACCTCAGGGCCGAGGGCGCCCACCCTGAGCCCCCCGGTGCCAGAGCAGGGCTCACGGGGACG